GTTCGGATATTAAACACTGAAAATAAAATTGAATTATTTTATTTTATAAGAAATTCCTAAATTTCTTTAAATATTTTCAGAAAGTTTTATCTCACTAACATTATTAAAAGATTATTCTGTTGCTAACTGAAGAAATTCCTCCTAAGAGATAATTTAGCCTATTAATTAGTTTGACATAAAGCAACTAATTGCTTTCAAGTGCTTGTTGAAGGTGTTTTATATTATACTTTTGTGTGTAAGATCAGGCTTTATGGGTAAATAAGTATCCTCACATATCATTAAGTCTTTATTCTAACATGTGATGTCAGCTGCTCCCAAACAAAGATAAAGTCAATCTTCTAATAAATATAGAACACAAATTAGATAAAAGCATCTTTTTTTGTATGTTTCTCTGCTTCTGCTTTTATACTATATTAATTTCAAATCTAAAGACCAACATCATTAAAACTAAATGCATATTCATGTTTTATAATAGTTTAATACTATAAATGTCACTGATACAGAAGACTTGTTACCTGTAACCAGTTTTCAGATCAAATGTGAGCTCTCACTTCAGACATCTGAAATAAAATAGTCCTAAACATGAATACTGGAACACGTAATAAATTAGTGGATGTCAGGACAATTCGTTGTAGTAAATCCATTCCAGTGACTCACAAGCAGAAACTTATTAAAGTTGAAAACAGAGGAGATTAATGACTGTAGTGAAGTCAGTGTCAATGTAATAAATGATGCAACATGTTCAGCTTTATTCACATTTCATCATCATGATTTAACGATTTGTCACAGCATCACCACACAATCGCTGGCTGGAAGAGGGGCCGTTTATTTCCTGGACATCGGATGATTAAGAACTGGGTGTGTGTTGTGTGTGTGTTCACATCGTCAGAGCTGACTGTGTTATAGAGTTAATGACTTGTGGGCAAAAGGAGGGGTGATTTCTGAACTTGACTTCAGGATGAAACACCAGGCCTCTCTCTCCTCAGCCAGATCGTCTCTCGGGGGGAAACGTGTTGTTGCACCTAATTCAACTGCAGCCCCGAGGCATGCTGGGTATCTGGGGAAGCGTAAGAACTGACCTGTGGTTTGAGAGAGGCACGCGGACTAACTGAAAAGGGGCGCGCCTTTCGCTCAAACCGGGAGAGGTGCTTACCGTGAGCGTCGAAAAACTCCTCGTCCGAGCTGTCCTCCGAGTCCCGCGCTATGCTCTGCATCCTCCACTCCGAGATGCTGTGACGTGACGGGCTCACTGTGAAACACACGCTTGCGGTTATTTGTGCACATTTATTGGCGCCTCTCCATGTTTGAACACACAATGAGGCTTCGACAAAGAAATGTCCTGCACACACCCCCATCTCACGCACAAACCCGGTGTTATATAAACATGCAACAGTCTCTCTCTCGCAGATGGACTGCTTGGTGGTCTGGGGTGGTGTGTGTGTGTGTGTGTGTGTGTGTGTGTGTGTGTGTGTGTGTGTGTGTGTGTGTGTGTGTGTG